AGAAATATAGCGTCTACTTATAGCCCTAAGCTACCTTTATTAACCGGCTTATATACTCGCCGTAGTTAGTAGGCATAATTATAAAGATAAGTAGCTCCCGTAGGGCTAGCGTAATCGAATTCCGTAGCTATATAAGCTTCGCGCTATCTTCCTATACTATAGTCCCCGCTACCTATAAGAGCGTCTCTTCGAAATCGGGAAGGAATTCGCTAAAGGTTTATCCGTCTCTTTACTTAGGGTCTATAGCTATCTTATGCCTTCTCCGCCCTATATATTGCCGAACGTATATATAAGGTATTAGAAGAAGTCTTATAGGTCGTTCTACCTAGGGCCGCCCTTATCCTAGAATCTAAAGATCCGCCGTATCTAGGGCTCCGGTAGCGTATAAAGGAGCGAATACCACGCTATATCGCGATAGCTATTTAGGCCCTATTTCTTATCGGTTATAAACTTCGTCTATAGCCGGCTAAGGAAGAAGTAAAAGGACTCCGGCTTACTATCCTAAGTCGGCTAAGGGAGCGGCTTCCTCGTTAGTAGTATCGCCGCCGTAACCGGCGTTGCGGAGGTCGTAGGGGTTAAAGCCGGTCTTATAGACGGCTCCCCTAGTATAGCGAGAACCTCGTCCTTCTCGCTAGCCGTCGCGCTTTTAATCGCTTCTAGGATAGCTACGATACTTCCTATCCGTCTAAGGAGGGGCGGAGTGCTTCCTTAAAGGGGAGGCGCCCTCTCTAGAGAGATATCTATTAGATCTATTAATTAATAGCTTATACTATCACGGAGTAGGCAGAGGCGTGCGCGTAGGTGCCGTCCGTAGGATAATATTAATAAGCTATATAAAGCTCTCCTATGCGCGGCTAGCCCGTATATATACGTGCGGGATCCGGCCCTCCGTATATAACTATACGGCTTAGGCCGTAGCCTAAGCCTATAACCTATAATAGTTAAAGACTCTTATAGAAGGTTATAAAAGCGCTCTAGTATCTACTACTATAGCTTAGAGGGCGACTTTAGCTTTTTTATTTAAAAGGCCTTATCGATATCTACTAAGCTAACTATATAGACCGCTATATTAGCCGCTATATAACCTTCCTTTTACTTTAATTATTATATAGTTCTTATAAATATAAATGTAAGGACCTTTTATACTAAGTATAAAGCTTATATACTTAGTTTTATACTTATAGAACTATAAATATAGTAGACCTAGTATTATATAAGCCTAAACTATAGCTTCTTTTAGTATAAAATTAAGTATAACCTTATATATAATAACTAGGGTTTCCTAAGAATTAAGGGAAACTTTAGTTAAGGGATTATATAAGCTATAATAAGCTTATAATAGCCGTTAACCTTTATAGCTAGCTATATAATACCCTTAATCTCTATACCTTTTATTATACTTAAGGCGCCTTTTACTTACCTTAAGGTTATCCTTTTTACTAGTACTTATATTTCTTATATAAGCGCCTTATTAACTATAGTATAGTACTAGTAGCTCTTATCTATAAAGGTAGCGATTAATAAAGAATTACTAATTATAACCTATATTAAAGTAAGCTCCTCTTTTATATAGGCGGATAACTCTTCTTTCTCTTTTATTAATACTAGTAATTAAGGCTCTAGAGCCTATCTTTACTTTAGAGCTACTCTTTTTCCTCTAAGCTTAAGGGAGCGGAGTCCTCTTTATTATCTAAGGTAAGGAGCGGTTCTATCTTTATAACTTAAACCGCTATAGGCCGCTTAGCTAAAAAGAAAGGGCATTTTAATATAAAGTATATAAACGCGCTATAACGTTAATAGCGGCCGTTAGCCTTCTTCTTCTTAATCTCTTTACTAGTTACTTACTTTGCTTACTACTTAAAGTATAGGGCGGTATAAGGGGTAGTTAATAGCGTTTTCCTACTACGTTTAGCCTAGTTTATATAAGTAGCTAATATTAAGGTATCCCTATTAGTATCGATAGCTAGCCCTTTATCTTATAAAAGGGTAGTAATAATATCGCTACTATATAGTATATACTTATAAAGCTTTTAAAAATATAGCGTTTACTTATAGCCTTATACTACCTTTATTAACTAGCTTATATACTTACTATAGCTAGTAGGTATAATTATAAGGATAAGTAGCTTTTATAAGGCTAGCGTAATTAAATTCTATAGCTATATAAGCTTTATACTATCCTCCTATACTATAGTCCCTATTACTTATAAGAGCGTCTCTTTAAAATTAAAGAGGAATTCGCTAAAGGTTTATCTATCTCTTTACTTAAGGGTCTATAGCCTATCTTATACCTTCTCCCGCTTTTATACGTTACCGAATATATATTTTAGGTATTAAAAGAAGTCTTATAGGTCGCGTTTACTCTTAGGGCTACCTTTATCTTAAAATCTAGAGATCCGCTATATCTAAGGCTCTAGTAGCGTATAAAGGAGCGAATACTATACTATATCGCGATAGCTATTTAAGCCTTATTTCTTATTAGTTATAAACTTTATTTATAGCTAGCTAAGGAAGAAGTAAAAGGACTTTAGCTTACTATCCTAAGTCGGCTAAAGGAGCGGCTTCTACGCTAGTAGTATTACCGCTATAACTAGCGTCGCGGAGGTCGTAAGGGTTAACGCTAGTCTTATAAACGGCTCTCTTAGTATAGTAAGAACCTTATCCTTCTTACTAGCCGTCGCGCTTTTAATCGCTTTTAGGATAGCTATAATACTTTCTATCCGTTTAAGGGGGGGTAGAGTGCTCCCTTAAAGGAGTAGCGCCCTCTTTAAAGAGATATCTATTAAATTTATTAGTTAATAGCTTATATTACTATAGAGTAAGTAGAAGTATATATATAGGTACTATTTATAGGATAATATTAATAAGCTATATAAAGCTCTTTTATATATAGCTAGCCTATATATATATATATAGGATCCGGCCTTTTATATATAACTATATAGCTTAGGCTATAGCTTAAGCTTATAACTTATAATAGTTAAAGACTTTTATAATAAAGTTCCTTATTAATAATTAAAAGAACCGCTTTATTATAAATATAGCCCCTTAAAAACTAAGTTTATTATATACTTAAAGTAATAGCTCTAATTAATAAAGTAAGCAATAATCTTCTCTTTTTATAGCTTAAGCTATATTTAAGGGTATAATATATAGCGGTAGATAGGTGCCTTACTTTCTTATATACTTAAAGGCGTTAGTTAAAGCTATTTATAGTCTTTAAGTAAAAGAGACTTACTTAGTTTTATAAGAATAATATAAAGCTTAGTATACGTTTAACCTAGCTAGTTTATAAGACTTTTATAGCCTTTAAAAAGTAAGCTTTATACTTAGTAAGAATTTTCTTACCTATATACTAGCAGTAAAGTAGCTAGGTAACTCTCTTAAGCTCTCTATAATCGTTAAGGACGTTAATAAGGGCGAGGTTATAGTTTATAATAATAACCTATTATAGTTTAATTCCTTCGCTTATAAAGTATACTAGTAAGGCTATAAGGGCCTACTTATATTCGCTATTAGCCTTACTAAGTAAAAAGACTAAAGCTATTAAGAAGGTCTTCTTTATATACGTTATACTATATATATTAAGGAGCTATATATTAAAGCGATTAGTCTTATAGGTATAGTTAAGCTACTAGATATTATAGAACTAGCGGAGTAGCTTAATACTGCTTTTTAAGGTAAGGAAGAGTAAGGAAAGTCGGCTAACTTAATCGCGTACGTTTTTAATAAAGAAGTCGTTTAAGTTATAAAGTTAATTATAAAGGAATTATAGCGGCGTATACCTAGTAAGCTCTTTTTAATAATACTAAGCTAAAGCGTTATAGACCTATTAAAGGGTAATATTAATAATATTAGGTTCTTTATAAGAGCATGCCCTTAGTTATACTATAATAATACTAGATTATAGGCCGTTATTATATACCTAAACGATATTAAAGAAGTAATTTATAATAAGCTCCCCTTTATACTTAGCGTAGGCTATTAGCTTAATAAAGGGGTAGTTATAAGAGTCTCTTAAGGTATAAGAGACTAACTAAGACTCCTTTACCTAGTCTAGCTTTAAGACTAAGTAAAAGGGGTACTTAGTTATTTATATACTCGTTTTCTAGCGTTTAGCAATAGCCTTATTACCGCGATTAACGTACTTATAACCCTTTAAATAGTATAGGTAAGCGTACGAAGGGGCGGCTATACTAGGCCTCTTTATAGCTATAATAAGAGCGAAGTGTTATGGAGTATATATACCGCCCCGGCGCCCGGGTGCGCTGGCGCGCCCTGGCGCATCCTTGATATGCGTGGTCAATTGACGAAGCTATCGCTTAGTTAATTTCCGTCTTCTTTTGCCCGCAAGCATACTTTTCGGCCTCTGCGTGGCAGAGGGGTCAGTAGCATGTCCACTGCTTTAGCCCACCCTCCGGCCAAGACCCTAACACGAAGCTATAGGCTCGTATAAGTATATTATAGGCAGCCCATGCCTCTTTAAACGATAAGAAAGTAGTATTTAAAAGAGATTCTATTTTTTTATATTATTACTCGTATATAGCCTCTAGGGCCATAGCGAGGCTAATAAGGGCCTAGGCCCCTATTAGCAGTCCCAACTAGCTATAGAGCCCGGGGGCTTATAACTAATAGAGAAAGGGTAGCTATAAAGATAAAGATAAAAGGAAAGGTTAGTCTAGTTCCTCCCGCGCGGTGTTTTTCCCCCTTATGGGCCCTAGGGCCCCTAGGTTACTCCTTTTCGAGCTCCTTAACTCGACTCGATATGCCAAAAACAGCAACAGCTTCCAAATATTTATAGTCTATAATTCAAGCTATGCATATATGTAGGGAAACCGCACCAACTACACAAACATCAAGACGGCGAAAGCTCAAAGTTCTCGTACATCGGCATCGTCATCTGGGCCGCGCGTGGGCTGACCCAGCTCACAACTCGCATGACCCTGCCACATTTCAACACGTTAAGCCTGTAGGAAAGACGCGGGTGTTTCAAAGGACCATCACAGTTGCTCAAATACCGCAACATGGTCCACCTCCATGCTCGCCCCCCGACCGCCAGCCGTCGCACCCGTGGGCGTCTTGATGCCGGCGATGGCATCGGGAAGCGCGCCGCCCACCGCGACGTTAAAGAGCAACATCTTCTTGTGGTCGACTAGCACGTCCCAAGCGCTCTCGTCGCGCACATCCGACTCGGTCAGGGTCCACTGCTGGGCGCCGTCGACGTACCAAGTCAGCGTCTCGTCTCGCCGCTCACGCCGTCGTCGATCAACCTCCCACGCGAAGGTGTGCCACTTTCCTCGCTCGAGGCGGTGCTCGGCAACGTTGCCGAGGCCGGAGAACTCGTTGCACGGTCCGCCCGGTGCTATGCCGCAGTGTGCCGCGCGCCGTACCCTGGCTTCGCCGTTGACAGACTCCATCATGTCTATCTCGCCGACGCGGGGCCAGTTCCAGTAGTTGCCGCGCAAGTCGGAGCCGAGCGCCCAGAACGCCGGCCAGATACCTTGCTGCCTCGGCCCGGGATCGCTGCCGAGCCGTATCCGGGCCTCGACGCGGATCCGGCGGCCGGCGGGGCAGCCAAAGTCCCACTGCGCCGTAGTCTCTATGCGGGAAGACGTCCACATTCCGTCGGCGAGGCGGATCGGGGTGATTTGCAGCGTTTGTCTGTCTGTGATGGCAATGTTGGACCGGTCGCTCGTGTACGTCTGAATCTCGCCCGTCCCCCAGCGCTGAGGGCCTCTGGGATACGACGTCCCGAGGTCGAGAGTCCATTTCGAGGCTGAAGGGAGAAAGCCGACCGGTTGGTCGGAAAAGTCGTCGAAGAAGAGGCAGCGGGAGAAGCCAGCAGGGATCGTCACTCCCCCAACATCTCGAGGCGAGTGGATCGTGTGATTAGTCGTTGGATAGGCGTCTGCGCCTCGTAGAATCACTAAACCTGCGAGCCAGTTGGAGAACAGCAGAAGTAGCAGCAGCATCCTGGTGGCCCGAGACAATGCTAGGCCTGAAATGAAACACGATGAGCGACGAGTTAGTAAAATGAGATGATCATCCAGCTACACAGATCATCCATGCTGATGAACAAGGGCAGCGTCAATCCATGGTTATAATACGGCATACGTGTGGTGGCATGAGTTTTGACTCTGAGTAGAAACGCGTGAGCACTTTCGAACGACTTCTATTCGGGACAATAACAACAAAGATCGCCCGCATTTCAGTGTCGCGGTCTCCTTTTTGTGGTGCAGAACCTCAGACCTTGACTGATTATAGCGCGAATCAGAGCCGGCCTTTTGAGACATTTGGGATTGGAATGATGGCACCGCGATGTTTTGAGAGTTGGGACATCCACAAGCGACAATGGGAGCACGCGCCCACTATGGCAGACTGAGAGAGCTTCACGACACCCCCTGAGCTCGCCTTCATGAAGGCTGATGCGGAGTCATAGTTCGTGGCTTCAATGCCTCTCTTGCCCTGCCAGCTTTGGTTGAACCTACCACAAACATTGCTTATACGTGACATTCGTACGTGACAGCAAAGCTGTATTCTAACATTGACTCTAACTAACCCGTCTGTAATGGTATTGTGAGATTTTGTGAACATCAAGTCCCCAGGCTTCTGCCCCCGGCCTCCAATATCGAGGCCCCCGAGGACCAGTGAATATGGGGCATTGAGCCAACTGCTTTGCTGTAGTGTTTGGGAAAGTTACATACTTTCCAGTGCTCCTGCAACTTGCTTCCATGCCCGTGATAGTAAGTCAGCAGCAAGCTACGGGTTTCTATCGTGGTCCTTGCCAGAAACAACGAACCAGTTTCCGACATCGACATTGTAACCCAAAGATTGGGATCAATAGTATACTATGGTTCCTTTCGAATTGCTCCGTATATTTCTTTCCTCGTCCTGATGCAAAACTACGGCGCTGGTGTCTGCGGCAAACATTTATCTCGGTTCTTGTTAGGTTTTTGAAAATCACGGGCACTACATTTGCCTCTCCGTACAGCAGTGCCGATTCTTCTTAGCCTCACTGTTTAGATTCCTGAATGCTACAGAGTAAACAAAGACTTGGATGCACCGAGCTAGTATTTGGGAAGTTGAGGACTTGAAAGGGTCCAAATAGGCATCGGCATCTCGTGGAGTTTGCCATTTGTAGTTACCAGCGACCAGGTTATACAGACCAGACTTGTCTGCACCTCCAGGGACACATTGCACGTTGTCTGAGCCCAACAACCTCCATTACATGAACCGTCTACGCGTCTCGGGACGACAAGGGAGCCAGGCCGTGCAAGTTGCAGTGTAACATAGATGCTGCCTTTTCGCCGTACTCTCTGCTATTATTGCACCTCCTGTTGCGCGGAAACAGAAACCGCATGTTTGAAAGTCAGCTAGAGTATTGTTCTTCCTTGCTTGGATTTATCGATCTAGAGATTCAGGCTGCAGCATGACCATGTCACGAGGATTTTCGGATCACGAAATAAGCAACCAGGAGATTGTAGTTTCGTCGCCTAGTTTCAGTATTTTGCGACGTATAATCTCAACACATGGGTTGCTATTCAGCCCATTGCCGAGATATGTGGCACAGGCCGTTAATAAGGCAGGTACTCTGTGTATAACTATAATCCAACTCGGTCTTCGTGTATTGTAGCAAGGCAATTGGCAAACACCAGCACGCTTACGGCGAAAAGGAAAGCCAAAAGATTGGAGCTTTATCAAGACTCGCTAGGGTCAGCACGGAGAGCATCAACAGCATCGGGTGATCGCCATATAGTCTTTTGTGATGCTCACGCAGCCTTCAGACGACATTTACATACCGTGCAGTACAGATGTACTGTCGACAGAAAGCCGGCCGTCTTTGCAATTAGCAACACAGCAGTTGACTCGGTGCCCTCAGATTACTCCCCATTCGAGCGGTTCAAGGACGAGTCTCGGTTTACCCATACAAAACAGCAGACTCCAAAGAGACCGAGGAAGACGAGTATACGATTGATGTGCTGCCGACTGACAGCAGCGTACGGGACACACGACGTTACTGGTACGCGCAGCGGTTCAAATGCCCTAGGCTTTCACGGATGGCCCGTGACTACATGACGGTGCAAGCCACGGCCAAGTTCGATGTATTATACAAAACGGAATCTGCCATGCCTTCCATGAAAGATGAAATTGAGTTATCATCTCACGAGACGCCTGCGGCAGCTCTCGCAACACCTGCTCACAGCGCGCGATCAGAAATACCCCATTAAGAACCGGAACATTAATACCTCTAGCACTGTTTCCCCGACCAATGTGGTCATAACGCTTAACGAATAATTGCTTAGCTATTTCTTCTACTTTATCATGTCAGGGTGGAAATAATCACGATTCTTGGTCGAGGATACATTGAATAGTTGAATGAACTATTGCGCCATGGCATAATACCATTGAGTCTACAAGTCAAGGCTACACAGCTGAGCAAGTAGATCTTGGCTGAAGCCCTAGTTGAGAGATCCGAGCCTTTTCGGCCGGTTAGGAGCAATTGACGTTCTTTACTTAAAGCCCCTGTGTTTTAGTGGAGAAATAAGATATATGGCCGCGTGGCCGCGGTCAAGTGTTCCAAATCACTTGTCTGTTTCATTCACTTACCACGTACGTACGTAGAAAGAATTAACAAGTGTTGTGTTCTTATCAAGGCTCAGTTTTACCATTCTTGCTCGGTTAGAAGTGTGATTTAGCGAGTAAAGCGCAGTAAATATAAGCCCCCGGCTGTTGGTTAGTAGAAACCCTCCCTTGCAATCTTGCTGCTTGCCACACCCGCAGCCGCCAGCCCATGCTCGGCAGCGTTTGCGAAATCGTCCGGGCCGCAGATGAAGACTTGGCGATCTTGGGCCTCCACGGCCGTCCAGTACTCGAACGGGATCCGGCATCGGTGCACCGTCACCGTGTAGCCGGCGGGTCTTGGCTGAGTCCCGCCGCGGCCCTGGCTAATGAACAGGTCCAGGTGAACTTTGACACGGCAGGCCGTGAGCCCCGTTTGCGCGGCGGTGAGCGACTCGTTGAGCAGCCCGAGCATGACGTCGGGTTCCCGCGTGGCGAGCGCCAGCACGACGTCGCCCTCTCCGCGCTGCGTCAGTGCCTTGAGCATGGCCAGGAAGGGCGTCACGCCAATGCCCCCCGCCACGAACAGCATCTTGGTTCCGGGAGGGGCCAGGCAAAAGTCGCCCGTGACCCCGACGACGTCGGCCACAACAGGGACTTGGAGCGGCACGAACCCGACCCCGGGCCCGGCGGCGGCGAGCTCCGGCAAGAGGCGGAAGAGGGCGCCTGTCACGATGCCGCCCTTGACCTCGCGCATTGTAAGTTCTAGCCATGCAGCTACGTCGTCAGTGTGGGCGCTCGACACTGTCCACGTGCGGACGCGGTCGTCGTTGATAGACCCCGGCGCCTGGTTCGCCATGTGCGCATAGCCTGGCGGCCCGATGAAGTCCATAAAGTCCAGCACCACGGCCTGGCCAGGGCGGATCTGCAGTCCTCGGGCGCCTCCCTCGACACGGAACCGGAACGTTGCAATGTCGCGCGCCCACGGGACGGCGCCGACCAGCCGCACCCGGCGGCCCTCGGCCCAGGTCCCGGAACCACCGGCCTCGGGCTCGTTGTACAAATACTTGACTCTAGGGCTGTATGGGCTGCGGCCGACGGCGGTGCCCGGTTTCTGGCGTACGGGCAGGGCGTCGCGCACAAAGACGTAGCCTGTCGTCTTGACGCACACGACACAGCCTTGGCGCGGCATCACATCGCGTGCGCCAGGGCCGACCAGCACCTCGGCGTCGCCGCTGAGGTAGAGCACGTCGCCGGCGGTAAAGGAGACAATGGTCAGCGCCGCCAGCCGGCTAGCCTCGATGTTGCCGAGGCTCGACATGAGGCGGTTGCCCGAGTATTCAGGGACGACGACGGAGCGCCCGTCAGTCGGGCTGACGCGGATGAAGCCGGGCAGCCCGCTCCGGGCGTTGATGCCCGCGTGCGACGGGTGCCACGCCGCCGCGGCTGCCGTCGCCCGGTAGACGGTTCCGACGAAGACGGTGTCGGCGCTCGTGATAAACCGCACCAGCTCGTCCGGCAGCCGAGCACCGGGATCCATCAGCGGCTGGCGGTACACGACGGCCGGATGCGCGTCTCGGTGCGGCACAAGCGTGCGCGTATTGATGTACTTGGGGCAGTTGCTATCCCCGACGATTAGCTGCAGAGGCAGTTGAGCAGCTCTTACACCGAACCTACCCCAGGGCCTCGGTCACCTCGAGGGCCAGCTCGTACTCGACATCGGTCCGCCGCGTCACCCCGCGGATCGCCCCAGCAAACTTGTTGCGCCGCCTCGTTGGGAACTCGATGCCAAGGCCGGCCGTGAGGAACCTTTCGTGCGGGGCCGTCTGCCGGCCCTTGGCATCGAGCCAGGCCCGGACCGTGTCGAGGAGCGGGTCTCCGTCCCAGAGCTGCGCCGTGACGGTGAGCAAGTTGGCGTCGGGGCTTCCGACGAAGCCAATCTCGCCCCCCGGGCCGGCGACCAGGGAGGCCCAGGGCCGGCCGGAGTCGTCGACGGTCGTCATGGGGATAAAGGGCAGGTTGCCTGTGTGGAAGACGCGGTGCTGCTCGCGCATGGCAGTCTCGACGATGCTCCACGCCTGGCGCACCGCGTCGGCGTAGCCAAGCTTCTGCTGCACTGCAACCTCGCCCGGATGCCAGCCATGTCGGACAGTGGCCATTGTCGGGTTGGTCTTGTTTTCTAGGGATACTTTTTACCTGGCGGCCGCGTATATTTCCTGGGCCCGTCTAAGAGCATGTGGATGACTTTCTGTATGGCAAGCCAAAGAGGTGCCGCCTAGGATTGAGGACCAGACAACTGGCGTCGCATATAATATATACTGTCAGCTGGGCAGCCACGAGGTTTCATCGAGGTGTATGTAGTTGATATACAGAGTACGGTCTCCTCTTGGCCCCCGCCGCTACCGGGAGTGAATGATTCCAAATAGCTGCACACTTCATGCGCCACTCGGCTAAGGCGGAGCCGAATCGACATCCTCTCCAGAGACTAGAGAGAGCGCCGTAGTAACTTACGTGGGAGTCCGGCAAAAAGCTTCCACGCGCGGTATAAATGAACCCTCTCTCTCCACCCGGCACTGCATGTCTGTTGCTTCTCACTCTTTGCTCGCCCTCTTGGAACCAAGACGAGAAATAGCCTCCAACCTAGAAGAGCCCCCAACACGCACCCTTTGATACCATGGCCACCACCACGTCCAAGCCCGTCCTGCACTACCTCGACATCGGCAGCCTCGGCCGCGGCGAAGTCGTGCGGTTCGCTTGCGCCCGCACCTGTCCCCTCTCACGACTAGTAGACCGGAAGCTAACAATAACGGCGCGCCAGCCTCTTCCTAGTAGACGCCGGCATCGAGTTTCAAGACAAGCGCTACGCCTTTGACGATACATGGAGCTCAACAAGCGCCGACCTCGAGAGCAAGGGAGTCTCGCGAACCGGTCTCGTCCCTGTGCTCGAGTACAACGGCGTCTACCTGTCCCAGGTCTGCCCCTCTTCGCGGCATTGCTAGTTTTGTAGGCTAACTCAGTTATGCGTGTTGCCAGCATATGCCCATGCTCCGCTTTCTTGCCCGCGAACTCGGTAGCTACGATGGCGAGTCGAGCGCTGATAAATACCTCGTCGATACTGTCGCGGACATATACATCGACTGGCGGGTAGGAACGAATTCTTTCATGTCCATCAACCGTGTCATGGGCAGCCGTAGTGCTGAATACTTTATGCAGGCCGAATGGGTCAGCAATCTCAAGACTGTTACGGACCAGTATAAGAACAAGGTCGCACCCGAGTATTATAACCTCGTCGCCAAGTATTACAAAGAGCGAGACGGCCCTTTCCTTCTCGGTAATAAAATCACGTATGCAGACTTTGCCATCTATCAGTCTATCGACAATGATGAAAAGATCGGGACTCTTCCGGTATGTACATCTGCAGGGCCTGGGACCACCAGGCACCCGATTACTTCCATCCCCAGCTGACATTAGTCTTTTCCAATCACGGAGGGAAATCTGCCGGACTCAATCTTGGCCTTGAAGAAGGCCATGGAGGCTCGGCCAAAGGTGGCTGCGTACTTGGGATCCGGCCGCAAAATCACGACCTAGTTGGAGGATTTGAGTAGCCAGGAGGACCACAGGGTTGGTACCATTCTGCCAACGAGCGACCTGCCTCTATGTATCGGTAAAATGCAAGGTCAACTGTCATTGTCGACGAGGCGTAAGTTGCTATGGCTACCTTAAATGCTTAATTCATTGTTGGGCTCATCTTTAACCCTTTCTTTCTCAAAGACCTCCAGGTACTGCTTCGCTTACGTGCCGTGGAAAGATTGGATTATTTGGATATCAGGGTTGGCTCTTAAGGAGCACCACGAGGTCCTTGCTTGCATCCAGTCACTCAATCAAAGTTTCGTGGTGCGGACTCGGCCCCTGTCCGCCCCCAGTCATTATGGCGTTTGTTTCTAGAAGAGGGCTTCTTCGGCCTGAATTTCTACTAGTTGAGTCTTTCGTAAAGATGGACCGATGTCACTTGGTCATCGCTGACTGTCGATGCGCTGGTCGTACATTCAAGATGGGCGTCACAATAAATCAGCCGAAGCCCCAGGCGCAAGTAGCATTCACGTGCTACGTGACATGTCGCATGATGATTTCAACACAAACTGCTAATCATTGGAGAGCCCCATATGACGACCAAAAGCTATTTTGTACTTTCCATGGCTGTCCCGGGAACGTTACGTTGGTTGGTAAATGGATGTATACAATCGAGCCCTTCGCGTATTATACTGAAGTTCCCCTCGTTAGAACGCTTACTTTATTGGTAACGCTGTAAGGTGCCGGTATTGCGATATTCATGTTCCGTCGAAGGAGAGAAGGGAATCGCTACTATATCGCTCCGAAGAAGGGGGCTTATAAGAGTCTAACTCTTAACTAGGTATCGCGATATTGATTAAGCAAAGCTAAGCTAGAGGCCGACGAGGGCGTAATGTTCTCCCTGCCTAGCAGCTGCGGGCACTCGCGTGAGTGGCAAGAAGCCTTGTTCAGCTAGATTTCCCTAGAGATGCCCATCAAAAGTCCAATGTTTGAACGTCGTGTGCGAACTGGGCCACCAAAGATCAAGTTGAGTGGGTGTTATGAAGCTCGGATAGGCAACACCTCAGGAGCGTCTTTATAAGTGGAACGCTAGTTGGCATCAGAAATCACGAGGCCTTGGGCTTGGAAGTTCTCCACGAACGGATATGACCACAGAAGCCTTGGATAGCGCTGGAATGAGCGAGTCAATTTCATGCCCCTCTCACTCTCCTCCTCCAAGGTCCTAACACTACAGCGTTGATTGCTGGGAACCCCAAGCCTCCACCGACATGCTTATCGAGGTAGATATGCGTAGTGTCCCTTACGGCGTAGCGCCGTCATTTGTCTCGCTGTGCGAACATATCCTAAAGGTTTTACAGAGGAAGCTTATCTCTTTTTCCCTCTTTTTTTCGTTATCTCTGTCCTTTTGTGCATAATACTCCTCAACGGCGGTTCGATTCGGGTTAGCCTTGTAGGCGATAAATTCGCCAGGAGAGCATCCGCCAACCAGAGAAGAGATATTCGATACGGCATTTGGACCGTGGCCGATAGCAACGAGATGCGAACCACAATCCGCACTATCGGCAAGGTAGATTTTGCGGTCATCAAAGTCGAATACCGCATAAGCACCTTGGAGAAAAATGGATCCCAGTGTTGGTGCTAATGATTTGTCAGTCCGAAATCAAAATTGATAGAAGAAAGAATAGGAGCTATACTGACTGTTCACGTCTGAGCCAGTAACTGGTACCCAGCACCTCTCTTCAGCCTCAATAACGAAGGTTTTGAGCGGGATCTTGATTATGGCGCTGCCGAACACAAAATTGACAGTGATATTTTTGGTCTTCGCAGAGCATGAAACCGAGTGCGGCCGCCGGTCCACAGACTTAATCTCGCCAGTAATGCTGTATAAAAGCGTCGTAGCAAGGGCAGGGGGAAGCTTGATGGGTTTATGGCCGGAGTCGATCGAGAAATTAACGCCTCTAGGTGACGTTTGTTCGTCTATAACGCTTATTTCTGAGCCATTTTCCGTAGTGACAAAAAGTCGATTCATCACCACTCGATGGCTGTAGGTTCTCATTAGTAATAATAGTGATGGAGATATAGGATTCAATACTCACAAAAAGAAACTGTTTGGATCATCTGCGTCAAATTTCTTTTCATAGTCCTGGCCACTCGGAACAATAGGAACGCCCTGAAGAGCTCCGGAAAACCTATTAGTATCAACACCGCCCAGTGTCATGAATCCACTACTTCTATCGTAGGACCCATAATTAAGGCTAAAAAGCTTCCGTTGGATACTACCCCGGGTCAGCAGACTATCCAGAATATCAGATCCATCTCCCGTCAAGGTCATGCCTAGAACCCCTACTGCGGGCATATCGGAGATATCAGACGGTAAAGCCATGCCTATTTTTACTTGGCCCAGAGCTATGATTGTTGATGGCTTAAGTCAGTGAATTGCCTCAAGGCATAGGTATCTCGCAGCACTGCCCTTGGACACCTTCTCTATGTCTCAGCGGATGAGGTTTTACTTACAATCGCCAAGTGACATTTCGTCTTTATATCCGTCCCAATCGACCGATCCAGTGATATAAACCAGTCCTTCCCTTTTGTCTAGATCCATTTTAGTGGTGCTTTTACTGAGATCGAATAAGGTACTAGTGGAGGACTCGAGACGATCTCCAATTGGGACCCATAAACGATTCGAACCCAGATCAAGCTCAACCAGGACCTTCTGTGGGGGTGTGCCGATCAGGACCTCTATAACGTAGCCTATCTCATTGAGTGTCTCAGGCTTCCAAGGTGTAATGCCGACCTGAACTTGACGCTTGTCTATCGTGTTCGCCGATGTAGTGTTGCCCGTGTCTGGCAGAGTGATGGCCACGATGGGGAGCTGAAAGATCCCGGGATGGGAGCCATTGGGCTCATTTTCAAGCGGCTGAGCTGCCACTGCAGCCCGAGCTGCGAGCGGTAGTGCTAGGGATAGGAAGAAGTTCGAGTGGGAAAACATCGTTGTAAATTGTACTCCGTCGTGGTCCAGATGGCGAGGAAGGAAACGACGTGAAGCAACTGCTTCAGTGGTTATATATACAGATATATATACATATACTGAGTCGCGAGTTGTCGAAATTTTATGCCGTCCCTGCAAACTATCCATGCTCTTAGAGTGGGGGGTCGCACGTATCAAGGCTGTGCAATGAGGGACATAACGACCTTCGTGATCCGTGGGATGCAAACTTCGCTAATTGGTAACTTATGCTTTAACATTATGCACCACGAGCTGCCTTGACGACTTTTCGGACCCCCCCCCTCAGCCCATTTCCCCCGATGCGGCAGGGAGAAAGCGTATCTCAGTGACGCCTCAGCTGCACGAAGCCTGGCGTATCCTCTTCGCGCATGCTTCAAGTTTCTAGAAGGCGCATTATCCGGGTATAGCACGAGTAAGGCAGATCGCAAGAACATAGGTAGTCCCTTCGGGCTCCATCGTCGATTTATTGCAGCTCAAGTAATTTAGCTCAAGTAATTAAACCATTAGCTACTCTCAAGCAGGGGCTTGAGAGCATAGTGGAAGAAATAGGGGCATAGAAAGGTGAATTTAGTGAATATATCTTGGTTTATCTATTAGGATAAGAGAGGGGCTTATATAGGTATAGTAACTATATATAGCTAGCTAAAAGAGGGTATTAAGATATTCCTATACCTAAGTTAGGCCTATATAATATCCTTAGGCTAGGGGAGTTATATTATTTAGGCAAGCTCCCTTATATATAACTATTAAGTCTACTAGGTATAACTATAGCCTCTTATACCTACTCTCCTTAATATACCCCCTTACTACCCTAGCTTTCTAGATAGTAAGGCAATAAGTAGAGGGGCGTTTAGTCTAATAAAAGTGAGGCTATTTAAATATTAAATTTAGCAGCCTTACTATTTATCTAAGGAGGTTATCTTAAATTAAGGGCTCCTAATAATATTCTTATAAAAAGAAGGTAAATATAGTAAAAGGTAATATAGTTCGATAACTAATATTATATACCCTTTAAGTATATAGTACTAGTTACCCTTCTTATTAAAGGAGGGTTTAAATATTAGTTAATTAAGGTTATATAACCTACTCTTACCGCTTAACTAATAGTTAAAGGCTATTACTATTAACCCCTCTTATAACGGACGTAGCTACTATAGGGCTAGGTAGAAAGAATAGTATATAAAAGATAAAAGCTAGGACCTAGGGGAGAGGATATAAGGAGAAGCCCCTTATTTCCTCTGCCCTTAGGTCTATTAAGTACTAGTCCCTCGGTACGGGGCCGGTACTTTAACCTAGCTATCTACCTAGATCCGGTGCGGGTCCTAGTATAGGTCTAATAGGTAACTATATAGACTAGCTACCGTATATTATTACGCGTATTAAATATAGACTAGCTACTAGTCTTATAAGTTAAAGTAAGAGTAGTAATAACTATCTATATTCGTTTCTACCCGCCTAAGATCTAGCGGGTTTTCTATCTTCTATATATACTATAGCGAGTATAAGACCTTACTTAAGGCTTTAACCGAGTAATATCTTAACCTTATAATTATACGACGGTAGTATAGCGTATTAGTAGTATTTCCTAGTATTTTCCCTAGGTAGGTATAGGTATTTCTCTATAACTTCCCTACTATAATCATATAGTAACTTCTTAAGGAAATATTAATATAATCCTTAAAGAGCTATTATTACTTAGGAAATTATATTATATTCCCTATATAATATATTTATAGGAAATATCTATAAAATATCTATATAATCTACTTAGTTATTATTTCTAAGATTTCTATATTAAGCTTCTAAGCTATTTAAAATATCCCTAATATTTTAGTTCCCTTATAAGCTTATTATAGTTAACTATATTAAATATACCTTTAATATCTAGCTATAAGAATAATATAATACTTTTCTAGGCCTAAGTTATATATACTAGTTCTATTACTAGTAGGATCGCTACCTTTATAAAGCGCTCCCTCTTATTTCTTATTTATTTATTTAATAGGATACCGTTTACCTTTACTACTCCTACGATCCTTTAAGCTAATATCTACTTAAGTACTTTCCTTACTATAAGTAGAAGGGAAATTAGTCTCTATCCCCTTACTATATAGTAGGCTTCTAGCCTCTTACCTAGCTTTTAAATTACTATTATATTTATACTATAAAACTACCCTAGGAAATATAGGAGTTAGGTATAAGCATAAAAGATTATAGCTAATTACTAGACTAAGGCTAGTTTATACTTCTTAATAAACCTTACGGGGACGCTATTTAAACCTATTACTTTTTAGCTTACTATCTTACTTAGCGCTACTATAACGTTAGCTAGCTAGATCTATTAATTAACTATAAGGGCTACCTTAGCTATAAGCTAAGGTAGCCCTTAGGTTATACTAGCCTTTAAATAAAAAAACTTAGCGGCTAATATTTAAGCCTTTCTTTTAAAGGTTTTTATTAGTTAGTCCTTACCCTCCTTAATTAATAGCGGGATATAGGTTAGTTTTAATAGTAGCTTACTATAAAGTCTAGCCTACCTCTTTATATTCTAGAGCTTAATATTATTAACGCTAAATTCCTTTAAGAACTTATATTAATAGGCCCTCCTTACCTTATAAACGGTTTACTTTTAAGCTACTATTGCCTTATATAGGTCTTCTTAGTTCGCCTCGCTCCTTTCCTACTTATACCTCCTCCTTACCCTCTTAGCCTCCCTTATTACCCTTCTTACCTTTAGGGTAAACTATATATTACCCTTAGGTAATACTCGCTCTTAGCGCGGAACTATAGCTATCGCGATCTATACTAAAGTAGTAAAGATATAGTTTAGGTCTTAGTTAATATCCTTTAGTATTTAAAGTATTAGCTAGTATAGTCTTAGCTAAGATATAGTCTTAGCTTTAACTAGCTTAGCTTTTACTTCTTTTTACCTTAAGGCTAGTTTAAGCGCTTAGGCCTAGGTATTAACCTATAATATAATAGTCTAAGGGATATAGTCTAACTTAGTTAGGTCTAGGTCGGGCTTAGTATACTATATCTTAGTCTTTAATATTACTTAAGCTAGATTAATAATACTATCCCTTTAGCTATAGAAAAATCTTATATACTTCCCTCTTAAGGTAGCGAGTTTAAGTTATAGTTTTATTGCCTTTTATATAAGTTATATTATACTATCTAAGGTTTTATTATATTTATCTTAGAGTAAGTAATAGATATTAAAATCCCTTACTATTATTATAAGGTACTTTAGTTTAATTACGCTTAGGTCTTATAGTACTTTAGTTTTTATAGCCCTTAGTAGTAAGTAAATTACTTATAGTTTAGTACTATCCTTAAAAACTACCTTACTTTAGTTTAGTTTAAACTAAGGTAACTATATTCCTAGCCTAAGCCTTTTATATATATATATAGCGCGTACCTCCCTTTATTATAAACTAAGCTATAGGGCGCTACTTTAAAGGGTAAGGCCCTACCTCTTAATATAGATTTTACTTTTTATAGTACTATTAAGTTAAAGCTAGCTTAGTAGTAAAGCGCTAGCTAAGCTAGCTTATATTTCTTCTATATATTTTAAAATAGTACTTTTAGTTATATATAAGTAAGGTTAAGGTAAAAGGGGTTATTTATATAAAGAGGGAGGCGCTTTATTTCTTAGCGCTTTTTTATTTACTATACTTATAAATATCGTTTATACTTAGTTTAGCCTCTTTAGCCTTATAGGCTAGCGGGTATTTTAAGCTTAACCTCTTATCTTAGCGTAGTCTACTTAGTCCTTACTTTTAGACCGCGGTTAAATTAAGAACGCCCTAGGTTTTAACGGTAGGTAGTACCTATTACTTAGTATATATCTAAGTATTTATAAACTATTAAGGTCGTTATAAGTAGTTTTCCCTAGCTTTTTCCTAAGCCTTATTCGCTATAAGGTAAGTTTAGGTTTATAATAAGTAGTCCCTTTAATATAAAATATAGTTATAAGGGATTTCGCCCTTCTTAGCTTTATATTTATCTTCCCCTTTATTATATATTATACTTTTATATTAGCTACTAAGTTATATTAATATATACCGCTTAGTAATATAGCTATACTTATAGTAGTTCTAGTACTTTTATAGTTAAACTAACTTATTATAGGGTTTATATTAAAAGATTTATACTTTAAAGACTAAGCTTAAGTTATAAAGTCTATTAGCTTTCTTTAAGCTACTAACCTTAATAAGTATAGTTATTATTATTAATATCTTAAATTAAAGGTATAGTACCTAGGCTTAAAAGACCTTAACTTTACTTACTTTTATAATCTTATAAAGTAATTACTCTTTATTTACTATTACTACCCTTAAAGAGATACTCTTAGCGACTACTATATAAGCGCGGTAGGTAATTATAGCTTTTAGTCTAAATATAGCTTTAACTTAACCTTAGTCCCTTTAATAAGCTCTTATAAAGGTATTAAATATAACTATAATATCTATACTTTAAAGGCGCCTTACTACTATAGTATATATAGCCTTTAAGGCTATATTTATTACCTTTACTATATCTTTTAGTTCGCGGCTTAGGATTTTAAGTAGTGCTTTAGTAAGGACTATAATAATCTTATATTTATAGCGCGGTAGGACTTACTTTACCGCGGCTTTATATTAAGTTAGTCCCTTAGTCTTAGCTATAACCGCGGCCTAGGTTCGCTTTAGGCCCCCTAGGCCTAAAGCGATACTTAGGCGGAGTTCTTCCTTAACTACCTCCTTAATTACTTCCTAGATTATTATCTTAAAGCTCTCGTTTATATTAAGTACCGCTAATAACGCGCTACTAGCGCGACTCTTTACCTTAAAGAGCTATTTAACTACTACCTATTATTATAACTATAGTTAGCGGGCTATAGGAGAGCTAGCTATATTTATATAATAGAGCGGCTTAGAATAATAGTTAAGATAAGAAGTTACTTAAGCTTAGCTTACCTAAGGTATACTTTAATAGGGGTA